ATGTGAAACAGCGTAGCTGCTTTGGAAAACGGTTGGCAGGTCCTCAACATGTTAAGTGGTGAGTTCCCCCATGACCCAGCAATTGCCGGCATCCACCAACACTGCTAGCATGTACCCACGAGACATGAACACCGAGGTGCACACGGACACCCGTCCACGCACGATCCTAGCGGCTCTGTTCACAGCAGCCGAAATGTGCACACAGCTCGAGTGCCCGGCCACACACTGTTGCATGTCCATGGGATGGAAGAGTCCCAGAGCACAGCGCAAAGATGCCCGGATACACCCAAAAACGTGGATGGACCTGGAACATTCCGTGCTGGGTGAAAGAAGCCAGGCACGAAAGACCGCGCCCTAAAATGTCCCAGCGAGGTGAATCTGTAGGGACAGAAGGAGCTTAGTGGCTGCCTGTGGCCGGGTGTGCAGTGGGGAGAGGGTGGGGGGCAGGGGTGCCGGCTAGTGGGCCGCGTTTGTTCTGCAGGTAGACAAAAGTGCTCTAACACCTGCTTGTGGGGACGGCTGCTGTCCCGTGAGGCCACTAACAGCAGGGGATTATACGCCTGAAATGACGGGTTGTACGGTGCGGGAATTCTATCTCGATAAAGCTGTTTTGTTTTGTTTTAAAAGAAGAGCCTGACTTGGGGTGCCTGGGTGGCTCAGTGGGTTAGGCTTCTGCTTCGGCTCAGGTCATGATCTCAGGGTCCTGGGATCGAGTCCCGCATCGGGCTCTCTGCTCAGCGGGGAACCTGCTTCCTCCTCTCTCTCTCTCTGCCTCTCTGCCTGCTTGTGATCTCTGTCTGTCAAATAAATAAATAAATAAATAAATCGTTCAAAAAAAAAAAAAAGAGCCTAATGGCCCTGCTGGCGGTCTACAGATGCCCCAGGCAGGTCCTCCTTGTTATCCTCGTGTTTTTCTCCTTGGTCTTCCATCACCAAGCCCGTGGTTCTTTGCCCTGAACGCGTCACCGAGCCGCCAAGCACAGGGCCGACCTGATTCTGGCGGCAGAAGATAAAACTCGGGCAGCAAAGTAGCCCGCGACCGAGCACTCACTGTGCGTCAGGAACCCGTGTCCCCTCCTCCCACCCCGCAGTCCATCCAGCAACCCAGACAAGGAAACTGCCGCAAGCCTCCTCGCACTAAGCCCTCCGAAGCCCAGAAAGGGGACGAGGTCGGCGGGGGCTCCGCAGCTGGAAGGCCGCAGGCGTGCCCAGGGCCAGCTCGGTCTAGCGCTGCGCGTCTGGTCCGGCTCCGCGTCCGGCGGTACCACGTGGGTGTATCGGACTGAGTGGTGAGGACATTTACACCGGGGAAACTGGCCAAGGCCCTGGTCAGGCTTCCCCGGGAGAGCTGAACCCGCACCTGGTCGGCGCCACTCCGGAGCCCCCACGCCTCCAGCCTCTGCAGACACCCCTCCCCTCTGGGGCGCTCCTGCACCCGTCAGGTCAGGCACTGCGGGAGCCTCGCTGACGCTGCCGGGGCCGCAGAGCAAACCCAGACCAGTCTCCGGGCTGAGTCTCATCTCCCTGGGCTGGGGCAGTGCCAGCGCCCAGAACAAGTGCGTGTTTCACGCTTTGGGACTGTTCAGGCGCATTTGCGGGGGCTGCATGAAGCCACCCAGCCAAGCTGGCATCCCCTCCGGGCTCCCACGTCCCCGAGGGCCAGACGTCCTGCCGGCCCTGGGCGGCGCAGGTGCTGAAGCGCCAGACGGGAGCCCCCCGCGCCCCGAGAGGCAGCACCGGGATTCCGGGAGCTTCCAGAGGCACGTGCCTTAGACTTCCACTTCCCAGGCCCCTCCCCCAAGCCCTCACCAGGAGAACAAGCTTGGGGGAGTCCACGGGACCACCTGAAGGCTTTGTGAGGCTCAGTGAAAAATGGAACTGCGGACCCCGGTTCCAAAAGTATACACAGTTTTGAGATGGTGACAGCAGAGCGTTAATCGGGGGGGCAGAGCCCCACTGAGCCTGGGCCCCAGGTGACCTCGTAGGCTGCACACCCAGGAAGCTGGCTGGCCGCCTTCCCCCTGGGGCTGTCTCCCAGGCCACCCTGGGCCGGCACCCACCTGTGGAGCCCTCGGCTCCATGCCCACATCAGGGGGCGGCTGAGGCCGTGCTCCTGCCCCGGGGGCAGCCACCAGGACAAGAGCTGGGCCCTGTTCTACTGGGTGAACCCTTCACCAAATGGCTGGGCCGCTGGGCAATGAAGCTGCGTTGTTTTCTGCAGAAACCACCCATGAAAACATCTCTGTGCGGTGCACCTGACCACGGGAGGTGGTCAGGCCCCAAGTCCTTGTCACTCCCCGGAGTTGGAGTCAGGCACTCAGGCCGGGGCAATGAGCGGCCTGGTTCGCCGTCTGACCAGCCTCAGCTGCCCACTTCTGTAGCTGGGGGGACCGTAAGCAGACCCCAGACCGCGGACCCTCTGCTTGTCCCCTGGAGGGGCCCGTCTGGGATCTGCCCATCCTGGATCTACTCTGCGAGAGGGAGGGAACCCACCACGCTGGCCCCGGAGGAAGGAGCGAGTCACTCACACGGTCTCACGCAAGCTCAGCTCAGAATAGCTCCAGGGCAGGGGGGTTGAGGCTCAGAGAGGGGCAGCCCCTGGCCTGGGGCCACACAGCCAGCCCAGCCCCACTACATGTAGCAATAATACCGTTCTCGGGCCTAACCACGGGCCAGGCCAAGCCTCGGTACAGAGCGGGGGGTGGGGGGAAACATCTCTGAATTCTCCTCAAAACGGAGTCAGCCAAGCGCAGGGATGGACAGGATGGAGCCCCCAGAGCCTCCGGCTCCACCAGGGATGGGGGTGGGGGGGCTGGGCACTGACCACGTCGTGGTGTGGCGGGAAGTCGAATGTGTACTCGTCCCCAAGCAGGCGGCCGTAGGCGTAGTCTCTGTGTGCCTCGTTTCCGTAGGCCCCATAGTAGTCGTACTGTAGGACCTGGGGGACGACACATGCGTCACCGTCCTCCTCCTCCTCTCTTCCCTCTGTCCTTTCCTATGTGTGCACGCACACGTGTACGCACACACACGCATGCTGGGCTTGGCGGGCAGGGAGCTGGTTCCCATAGGGGCAGAGACGGAGCGGACGATCCGGTCCAGCCTCACCGAGCCGCCCTCTGGAGGGCTGTGCTGTGCAAGCGGGGGCGGGGGAGGGGACAGGGCTCAGCCATCCACGATCCCTCCCTCGGATGACACCCTAACCACCCTGGTGGTGGGTCTGAGAGCCCATGTTGGGAGAGAGCCGGGGCTGTGCGGGTTGGGGCCCAGAAGGATGGAGAGGAAGTTGGGTGGGGGCAGGGTTGGGAGAGACAAGGGCTGACGGGGAGGCAAGGGGTTGGTCAGGGCCACTGTCAGGGCTTTTAGGGCAAGACTAAGGCAGCGGGATAAGGCCCCGGCACCAGCCCATTGAGGGTGACGGAGTTGAGGGTCCAACACCATTGCCGTGGCAATCAGGACCACACCATGCTCCAAGGGCCTCAGGCTTCCATGGACAAGATCCTTTCTACAGACGGAAATGGAGGCAGAGAGCTTCTAGCTTGACCTAGGTCACAAGCAAGGACCAGACAGGCCTGGCATAGACCTGGGGGCAGGTGGGCCCCAGAGGCTGGGTCCTCCTCGGCCACTTGCCGTGGCCTGTCCTGCACCTGTAAGCAGCTCTGAGATACCCACAAGCCAAGAGGCCCCGCCCCTCCCCCGCTGCTTCTGAGTGATCCGGTCAGCTGTCACCTGGCAGCACGGCCAGCCCCGCCAGCCTCCTCTCCCCAGCAAGAGCCGAGTGCAAGATTCTGACTGTGCTGGGCTGCTTGGCCGCCCTGGGGCCCCCCTCAAGCCCTGGCATCTGGGGTGGGGCCTCTGCACAGTCATCTCTCTGCCCAGCACGTGCAGCTCCCACCGGCCCCTGAGGCCCCAGAATGGACATTCCAGGTCGTTGTAGCCTGGCCGGGCATCTGGGATTTGGGGGACATCTTGTCACCTCGTGCCCTGGACACCTAGGATGGCTCCCAGGTGGGAAGGTGCAGAGCCCGCCCTCTCCAGATCAACGGTCCCTGTCCCTGCTCCACTGTCCTCTACTCTCCCGGGGGGCGGGGGCTTCCAGGGACAGGCCAGCTGGCATGCGGAGGGCTCTGCTCAAGGCCCGTCCTCTCCTCGTGGCCCAGGCCTCTTAGCCTCCTGGGGACAGGCCTGTCCCCCAGCATCTTAGAGAGCCTGTCTCCTCTGTCCTCAGGTGTCTCATGGTTTGCCTGTCCCTCCAGTGATTCAGACCTCAAGGGGAGCTCCGTGCTCCTGGGCAGAGGGCAAGGGTCTCTACAGGCCAATGAGAGAAGGGGCCAGGACCAAGGAGGCTGAGAACAGTGACCTCTGGGCAGTAGCGAGCTCTGGTTACTGCCTCACTTGCCTCAGGATGCCCTGGGAGCGGCCTTGGGCCCTGGGTTGCTATGGAGATGGGAGGAGGTTGCGCAGGAAGGGGACTGGGAAACAGAGCAGCGGGAAGGGGATCTCAATTTGCACAAATCTGGATCAAATACTGTCCCTCCGGCTGGGCGGAAGCATCACCACACCTGCTCCAGCAGACCCCAGCCCTGAGCTCCAGGGGCGGGAGGCGTGGCTGCTTTTCTGACGGCCCCGGGCCGATGGGAGGCACGGTAAAGGGGGCGGGGGGGAGCCCCCAGGAGGGCACCAGAGGCCAGGAGGCTGTGAAATCCCAACTTACAAACTAACGCAGAATGCCTAATCTGGGGCTAAGTCCTCCTACTAACATAAAATACCAGTTGCAGTTGCCAAAAATATACGAACAAAATTATGAGAAGACGCGCTAATTTCTCCCACATACGGGTGGGGGCTGCATTGTGCACAGCCTCCTCACTGTGGCACACCAGCTTCCCCGGGGCCCCAGGTTTCTCAGAGCCCCAGAAGGCCTGAGTGACAGCCCCGGGGGACAAGGGCAGGGGAGGGGCTCCGGGCAGAGCTGCAGGGGCTCAGCCTTCCTGCACACAAGACGACTCACCCTCCCCACAGGCCCCACCTGGGCTGGCAGCCGCGGGTGGGGTGGGGGACAGGCGTGGAGGGGTACCTGGCCCAGAGGGCCTACTCACCGGAGCTGTGCCTTGGGGAGTAAACCATCCCGGCCGCTCCCAGCCCTGCCGCTCCTGGAACACACAGCCTCGGGCGAGTAGCTCCTGGGTAGGGGTGGGGAACAAGCACCCTTTAGGCCAGGCCAGACTACCCCCGGCAGGGCAGCCAGTGACCCCCAGGGAGCAGAGGGCAAACAGGTCCTCGTGGTGGGACCCAGGACCCCATGCCTGCCCCACAGCCCCGCCCCAGCTCCCCTTGTCCCAATCCAAGAGTCCCAGCCTATTGAGAGACCTTCTGCTAGGGACAGAATTGTACCCCCAAACTCTGATGTTGAAGCCCTAATTCGCAGTGGGGCTGCATTTGGAGACGGGGCTCATGAGGAGGGCTTAGGGTGGAGTGAGGTCACATGGTGGGGCCCTGGTCCCAGGAGGGGAGGGCCCGGCAGTGCTGCCCCCCGACAGGGTGGACACAGCAAGACGGCAGCCCTGGGCAGCTAGGAAGACGGGCCGCACCTGGAGCTGGGCAGCAGCACTGGGCTCTGGGCCTACCGGGCTCCAGAACGGGGAGAAGGGATGTCTACGGTCTCAGCAAACCCCGTCTGCGCTGTGTTGTTCCAACAGTGGGAAGAGGCCAGCAGTCTCCCTCCTAGGTCCCCTCCCACCCCAACAGAAGCAACAACAGGGTCACAACGGGGCTCTGCACACCCCTGTCCACAGCAGCAGGTGGCAACCACCCAGCAGCGGACGGTCGGTGACCGAGTGCAGTGACCCCACAGGGCAGAGCGGGACCCGGCCCTGAAGAGCAGTGGCGTCCGACACGCGCCGCACCGCGGGCGAGCCTCTGGCACACGGGCCAGGAAAGGAAGGTCACGTGTCGCTCGGCTTCCCTCACATGCAATGCCCACCGCAGGGACAGAAAAACCCGGGGGTGGTTGTTGTAGGCGGGGCCGGGGGCGGGGAGAACGGGGAAGCCCTGCATCACGAGCACGTGGTCCCCTTTCCGTGGCGGTGACGGTCGCACAGCATCGTGAATGTCCTTGTCTCCTGAATCGCGTGCTTTGACGCGGTTGAAATGGCAAATTTTATGTGTCCTTCACCGCGAGACAAAAATGTAACAGCCTAAATTGGTTTCCTGGGCCCAGCTCACACGTGCCTGCGTGCAGGGTCCGCCCCCGCAACACACCGAGCAGTTCTCAGACACCAGGACTGTGTCCAAGAATCCGGCTCCATTCCATTGCTGTCTGCCCCGGGACGGTATCAGAGTCCCTCAGGGCTGGCCCCCGCTCCGGGCTGTCACCTGTGCTCCAGACCGACCGGCCGTGGGTCAGGCCCCCCAGCTCGGGTGGCACGGATTTGCTAGAGCAGCTCACACGGCTCTGAGAGCTGTTTCACCCACTGGGTCGCCCGGGCACTGCAGGAGGCTAGAGCTCAGGGACAGCCAGACGTGAGCGGGACAAGTGGGACGTCAGGCCAAGTGTGGGGGAGGGTGTGGGGCTTCCGGGCCCCTCCAGGCGCCACTCTGCCCAAATCTCCACGGGCTCCCCAGCCCAGAAGCTCTCTGTGCCCCTCCTTTGGGGTGTTTAGGAAGGCGTCATTACGTAGGTGCGACTGATTAAAGCAGTGGCCACTGGTGATTGAGTCCACCTGCCGCCCCCCTTCCTTCCCAGAGACCAGGGGTGGGACAGGAAGTTCCTGTCCCCTAATCACAAGGCTTCCAGCTGGGTTCCCGGGCAGGCAGCCTCCTTCCTTAGGTTGGGCCCAAAGCCACTATTGACGTAACAAAAGGCACCTCTCGGGCTCTCGTCACTTAGGAAATTCCAAGGGTTCGCGTTCGGACCTTCTCCGCCAGACGTGGAACTGGACAAAGACCGTACCTGTTCCTTATTCTAAGTCACAATATTGCACGGACACAATAAAGTCCTAGAGTGGCAGATTTCTTTGAAAATCAATTTGGGCTGGGGAAAGAAAGAACCGCCACTCGTGTTTGGAAGGGGCCTGTGTCCCCGGCAGCCCCGCCCAACAGCCAAAGGCCCGGAGCCCCAGGCTAAGCAGCTCCAGAAACGGGGGCTGGCAGGGGTCCCGAGGCTCTGGATCGGCCGCCTCCGCCGCCTCCTGTGGGCCACCCAGACCCCGAGCAGGGAGGGAAGGGCCCAAGGTCACACTGCCAAGCGGTGACACCCCAGAAATGTCCTCTTCGGACATCCAAGGGGGCAGCAGCTGAGGACACAAAAGATCATCTGCAGGGAGTGACGGAGGCGTGTGCCTCGGGGGAGCGCCCCCTCCCCAGGAGGGAAACGGGGGCTAAGCTCTTCTAATAAAACAATGCATGGCCGGGAGGCGTCATGGGCAGGGCTGACCGTGTGGGAAGGCGGAAGCGGGAGGGGATTCAGACTCCTCGCTGGGCACCGGGTGTGCTGGCTCCTATGTGTGCTCTTTGGGCAAAGCTGTGCACTTCTGAGTGGTCCTTATGAGCCCCCCCTGCTTCCACGGCCAGCCAGCAAGCCCTGTGTTTGCTGGGGAGGCCGTGGAGCCCTCAGGATCCATGCAGGGTGAATAAAGACCCAGGTAGGCTGGGGAGGGCCGGAGGCTGTGTGGGGTCTGAGACCGTTGCTGGCCCCCAAGCTGAGCCAAAGGGCAGGGCAGCCTGGGAACCACTGATGTCTTTGGGCCTCTCCCCAGGAGGTGCAGGGGACACTGGGTCCCTCTGGGGTCCAGGCCCTGGAGTCCCAGATGAAGTAGGTTCCTTTATTCAGCTCCGGGAGCCTGCCCCTCCTGCCTCCCCCTTCATCCACCCATTCGACAAACGTCCCCTGAACAGTAGTATGAGTCAGGCTCTGGGCTCAGTGCTCAGGAACCAGAAACGCGACGGCACAGCTCCCCAGCCCAGAGCCACAGAGAAGCAGAGCTTGAATAGGCTGGGGGCACAGGGCAGGTGCCTGGCTTGTGGGGGGGCCTGCGAGAGTGCACAGGGCCAGGCCCCAGGAAGGGCATCCGATGGTGGGTTTTATCGTACGGGTAGAAGCTGGCCAGGGAGGAAAGGCAGCCGAAACAGCCCCTCTCCACCCCCCCACCCTGAGCAGGAGCTCGTGTCCGTGGCACGCCCTCCTCTGACATGGGACCTGCTGATGCAGACACCTGCCAATGCACCTGCCACTCAGGGCCCTGCCACCAGCAGCCAGCGAGGGCTCCGAGCACATTCTGCTAGGAAGACCCTGGGAATGACTGGGCCCCCCATCGCCTCGCCTGCCCAGCAGCTGGGGCGCCACACGCCCTCCGGTCACCCCGGTCCCCTGGGCGTCCTGCGGGTCACCGCGTTCGTCGGGGGGCGGTACCTCGTGCAGGGGGTCGGTCCTCATGTTGCGTCCCGCCAGGGGCTCGTCGTGGGGGAAGACCACGGAGTAGTTCTTGGCGTAGGACTCGTGGCTGCGCTCTCGAATCCAGCGGCGGTGGTCCGTGAGCTGGGGATGGAAGCGCCTGCGGCGGATGGAGGGGCCCGTCACTGCCGCAGGGGCCTGGGACGGAAGGGCTGGCCCAGGACCCAGGACAAAGCAGGACCCTCACCCCTCCGCCAGAGTCCTCCCCAGCGTGGGCTCAGCCGGGGGTCTGGGCTCTGCTCTCCCGCCCGGGGGTCTCCTCCCTGCGACCCCCGGCCCCCACACCAGCCTCCCTCCAGCCTTCCTGAGGCCACAGCAGCTGGAGCCTCCCAGCGGCTGGTCCATCTGGTCTCCGTGGACAGCCATGGCTGCCCCAGCCGACTGCACAGCCGCCGGCGCCCCTGTGTCCGGGGCCCCCAGCCCCACCCCCGCACATACCCACTCTCAGACCCCCGCTCGGACCCGCCACCCTGGCTGTCCCTCCCCCCACTGTCCACCTGCTGGCGTCTCACGCATCCCCCAGACCTTAGGTCCTTGTCTGTGTTTCATCCTCCCAGTGATCCCCGTCCCAGCCTGCCAGGGCTGACGCTTACTCTGCACATGGTTCCAGAGAGCGACGGTCTGCCTGGGGCAGGGGTGAAGCTACAGACATGAGCCTAGGACTGTGGATGCTATCACTAGGAATCCCGAGGATGCCCGGAGCTCCCTTCTGGGGCAGGACCAGGGCTGAGTGTCTGCGGGAACCCTGCTGTTCACCCGGCAGCCCCTGGAGGGAGGGGAGGCGGAGGAAGCCATGGAGCTGGGCCAAGGGTTCCTGGATGAGAAGCGGTATGCAGGGCCTGGGTCTGGAAATCCGCAGCTGCCTTTGGGGGGGAGGAGATGGGGAGGCAGGAGGCTAGGAGGTCTGGCCTCCACTGATGGCCACTCTCGTCAGACTTCCCCCATCACTAGGAGCGGACGTGCTTCTCCTGGGATGGGACTGCTGACCTTCCCAGCAACTTTGAGGGTGTGAGTCCTGGACGAGAATGGGGACAGGCAGCTGGAGGGTCTGGGGAGAGCTGGATTTCCTTCTTCAGGCCTCTGGGACATTAGAGGAAGCCGGACCCAGGGCAGGCCTAGGTGATCCCGACACTGACAGTTGTGACCCCTCCGGCAGGCGTCCCGCCGGCCAGCACCGCCAGCCCCTCCACTCACATCTGTGCCCGTGTGTGCAGGGCGGGGACGCGGGTTCAGGCTTAGCCGGAGCACGACCGGGGACCGGCAGGGGAATGGACCACGCCCTGTGTCCACGCAGACCTGGCCGCAGCATTCATCCCATGAGCAGGCGGGCGGGGGGCGTGCGGCCAGGGCCAAAGCCAGGGCTAGGGTCCAGCCACCCTCCTCACTCAGAGAAGGAATGACTCCTCCTCCTCCCCACTTACTGGGACCCCAAGGACTTGTGCTAAAAATCACAGCCTGCGCTCCAGACCCTGCCCAGGCCAGGCTCCAGGGGGAGCACCGTGCATACGAGACTCAGACGCACTCTGCTGAGAGTTGGGTCACTGCTCCCATCTCACAGATGGGAAAGCCACCTGCCTGAGCCACGAGGGTGGCTGGACCAGTTCGCTGCCCCCGCCTCTATCCACCAGGCCCCAGCTCTTAAGGTTCCCTCCCCGTACCCTCTGCCTCCTAACCCCTGACCTCCAGGCCCCAGCCTGCGAGCCATAAGCCAGCCCACGAGACGCTCCTTCCAGGGAAGGCAGGCGACCGATGGAGGGAAGCCCAGACCCCCTTCTGCCCAGGCCGGGGCCTTGGCCAGCCCAGACCTAAGGCTGCCCGCTGACTCCAGGACTGTGTACCCCCTCCCTGCTGGGCCTCCCTCAGCCCAGGAGGGGTGCGGGCAGGCCAGCCTCGTCCTGCAGCCGTGGACGCCGTGGCACCGGGAAGCTGCCCCCCCGAGGCCCAGGGTGAGCCCTGGCGGGTGGGTCTGTTCCAGGGCTGAAGCACTTGCCCGCCGGGGAGGTCAGAGCCCGGCCCAGCTCCGCTCGCACCCGCATGACCTGCAGACAGGCGGCCGCCCCCACCAGCCCCTCCTTTTGCTGTTTGCAGCAGGAGGGGCTTGGGCCGGCCCATCCCCAAGGCCCCTCACAGCTATCGTTTCTGGAACATTCCTCTCTTGGGAAAGCGTGGGCGCAGCCCCAGTCGGGCTCTGAGGCAGCCACAGCGCAGACTGCCGTGCCAGGCGCCATGGAGGGGGTGGCAGTCGGGGAATCTCGGTGTCTGTCTGTCTGCCTCCGTGCGGGCCAGATATCCCCCTCCCCAACCCCCGCAGTGGGTGTAATGTCCTCATCAGGCCAGGAAGGGTCAGGGTTAGCAGAGCAGGGGGCATGAGCTGAACCAGCCCCTACGGGCCGCCCGGGTCGCCCCAGGGAGGCTGTCTGCCCGGACCAGTGACGGTGGAGCGGGCTAGACGCCCACGGGGCACCCCTCCAAGCCACTGCCTGCGGACCCCAGCCCTGTCTGCTCCCCCCTCCGGGCCGTGGCTGGGTGTCTCCCCCCACGCTGCCCGTCGGCGGAGGGTGGTACAGACCAGGCTGCCCCCAGCTCCGATGTCAGGTTCCCTCCACCTGGGCTCGGGTCTATCTGGGCTTCCTTGCAGACGTGCTTCAGAGTGATCTACTGACCCAGACGCAATTCGCGGCTCCCAACACTGGCAGCACACAGCGTCATGACCCGGGGGTCCCAGAGAGGCAATGGCTGGGGTCAGACTGATTCCTATCACCGGATGGCATCTCCACTCAGGGCTGTCTGCGCCCAGCCTCCTCCTGTGGACTGACAATAACCAGCGCAGCCTCACTTCCTGGGCCACGTGTGTGGTCCCACCTGCTCCCCAGGCCTCAGTCTCCCCATCTGCAAAGCGGGATGACGTGACCCCTTTGCTGATCCTGGAGCTATCCGGAGGGTCAAGCAGGACCCTGGCACAAGAAATCCCAGAAGCTATCAAGGGCCGTGGATCTGCCAACCCCAGGCTCCTGCTGGCACCTCTTCCAAGAAGCCCTTGGATTTCAGGGAAGGCTCCTTTCTAAAGAGCCCCTGCCATGTACCCTACTCTACCGAATCCCGGGGCGCACTCGCCTGATATCATAGCTGTACATGTCCTTCTCCGGGCGCCCGTGGACAATCCAGTGGGCCAGCTCCCGCCCACAGCCGCCGCCCAGCATCATTCCTGGCAGGGGTGGAGCCAGAGGTCTGCCGTGGCCCCGGAGCCCTCACCCAGTGCCCACAGCCGGCATCACCCCTCCCCTAGCCCTGGATCTCATCTGGGGTGCTGTGCACCTGCTAATAGGACCTCACCCCTCCCTGCCGGCCTCCTCTGCCCCACCCCCCCGCCAGGATCCCCACCCCACCCCACCCCCTGCCTGGTGGAGCTGGGGGGGCAGGGGCGGGGGCCCGAAGCGGCGGCCCTTGCACTCACCTGCACTGTTGAAACCACAGCCCAGGTAGAATCCTCGGAGTTCGGGCGCCTCCCCCATGAGGGGCTTGTGGTCCGGCGTGAAGGACTCTGGAAGGAAGGGGGCCTGACGCTGCCTCCAGGCCGCGTGCCTCTGGGGCAGGGTCTCCCGAGAAAGCAGTGACCGGAGTGGGGTCTGCTGGTATCTCCTTCATCCAGGCCTTCCCCATCCTCATGACTCAGCCCAATGCCGCTTCCTCCAGGGAGCCTCCCTAATTGCTCCTGCCACATTCCCAGGCTCCTCAGCATTTATGGCCAGAAGCACCCAGCTGGGAGAGGACTCCGCCTTGCAGAGTCCAGGTTTGTCTCACAACGGTGGCCATTCTCCTGCTGGTGAGGGGCCTTTCCCCAAGCCCCCAACACAGGGCGAGGCTCTGCCTCCCTGCGCCACCTTCCTGCTGTGTCCCTGCTGCTCATCCTTGCCCACTGGACCAGGAGAAACGTGAGGGCGGCGCCGGGCTTCACTCACCGCCGTGTCTCAGGGCCTAGCACAGGGCTCACCCCACAGCACGTGCCTGATAAATGTTCACTGAATGAAGGAACAATCCTAAGTTCTTTGGGAGAGGGATGGGGGCTTCTGCTCCTGCCTGTTGCTGGCGGGTCACCCGGAGAGGCCAGGGCATGATGGCGAGGGACCCTCGGACATCTTCATGCAGAGCCGAGCTTTGCAGCCAGTCCTGGGTTCGAGCCCTGCTCTACTCCTTCCTAGCTGTGTGACCTTGGGCCGGTCACTTCCCCTCTCTGAGCCTTAGTGTCCTCATCTGTAAAACCGGGAGCACAGCACTTTCTTCCAGGGCTGCGAGTTAGCAAATACTTGTAGCCCATGTGTCTGTGCCCCAGGCTCGGCTCTGAACGAGACCAGTCCCAGCCCTCAGGGAGCTGACCAGACAGTGACGGACGCAGGAAATACACAAATAAGCAAAAGAGAATGTTTGGTAAGAAAACAGAGTGGGAGGAGAGGGTGGTGAGGGACACCTGATTGCCCTTCCTGGCAGGTACCATGGTCACCAGGGGAGAGATGAGGAGACCCTGGGAGGCGGGGTCTCTCTAGCCCAGTCCCCTGCTAGTGAACCCTGGATGCCGGAGCGCCGCTTACGGCTGTCTGGCCCCCTGCCCGAGTTCCTAACCTCTGTGCAGCTCTGCTCCCTGCGGAGGGAGCAGGCCTGAGCTGGGGGGGCGGCATCTGAGGCCATCCCCGTCTGCGGGACCTGGGGGAAACTTCCAACCAGCTGGAGAGGGGGACACCCCAGAGAGGGGGAAACCCCAGAGGTCCGAAAAACAGAGTTGGGGTGGCTGAGGAAGGGTGGGGGGGTCAGAGAAGGCAGAGAGCATCAGGACGGGAGCTTCCCTGGGGGACCGTGTGGCCACCCCCGTGAACCCTTGGGCAGAGCGGGGACGTTTCCCGCCCGGGGCCGTGGGAGGACAGGAAGATCAGAACAGCCTCATGGGGCAAGTCAGGAGAGAGTTTCGGGGGACGAGAGTCTCTTGAATGTTTGACAAATGACTCAAGCCTGTGCAACATGAGGATGCAGGAAGTCGGGACGTTTGGCTGCACAGACAGGGGCCCCCACCTTGGCGGTGACCTCGGGACCTGGAATGGGAGCTCTGCCTGCCCCCAGATTCCCCAGAGTCAAGGGGGCCTGGGACTTCCGAGTTCTGTTCTGGAAGCCAAAGGCCACTGACCGTGCTTGTGCTCCCTGGCAAGAGAGAGGCTGATTTCCGCCGTGAACCCTCCCTCCCAGGCAGGAGACCAGACACAAGATGTCCTCACGGCACCTCGCCTTTGTGGGAGCAGTGACCGCCCGGGCTAATTAACCACGATGCTCCCGGGTGACCCGCACTCCCGGGATTGTCTCAGGCCTGTGCCGCTCACTGCCAGCTCCTCGCAAGCCCGGGGAAGCCATGGGGGGGTGGGGACGGGTAGGCAGTGAGTCTTCGGCCCACGGCCCACGCCCACGCCCAGTGCTTCTAACCTGCTCACTGCGGCTGGGCTTCCTGAGAGCTGGACAGATTAGAGCCGCCCTGTCTGGCGGCCGTGCCAATGCCAAGGGCACGGAGGGAGAGGGCTGGACCCCTGCAGGCCACGGGCCCCCGGCATCAGAACCTGCCCCTCTCCTGGCCTGGCCTGCCCCTTGGCTGTGGACGACCCCTCCCTCCCCGGCCTCTGGCTGTCTCCTTCCCCTCAGGGGCCTCACAGCAGTTTGCTGGCCCAGCCGTGCCCTGCACCTAACAAGTGGCTCTCCTTCGTGCTCCACGCCTGCTGAGTAAGTGCTGTGTCACCCATGTCACAGAGGAGGACACTGAGGCACAGGGAGCTGAGTCTCAGACACAAACTTTCCCCTTTGGACAGCACCACGTCCTTCAGGGGCTCTCCCCAGCCCTGATGTGGGCCGAGGCTGGCCCCACCCATTTTCTGCCTTGACTGACGATGAAAGAGAGCCCATGTGCCAGGGAGGAAGGGGGGCAGAATAGGGCCCGTGTGATTCTGCTGGAGCCACGACGAGGGTGGCGTGTGTCCTGCCTGCCCGCGGCAGGGTCAGCCTGGGTCCAGGCCTGACATAGGCCAGACGCACTTCTCAGCCAGAAGGACCCTGGGATGCCCACCCCAGCTCTCAGCCTCCCTACTCACCAGGGCCGCAGACCGTGGACTTGACCCCGGTCTTCTCCAGCACAGGGACGCGGTTGACGGCACCTTCAATGTGTGGGCCGAACACGTCCCAGTCCAGGTCGAAGAGGCCAAAGGCAAAGTTGTCGGACACCTGGGGGGGCCGGCAGGGGTGCGGCCCTGTGACGGGGAGCTGAGCCTGGCCAGCCCGCCCCGTGTTAGCAGAGGGACAGGGCTGGGCTGTGCCCCTCAGGCCTCCTCCGCTGACCGCTCAGCAGGGCTTGTCCGCTCCCCTTCCCCGTGTTCCCAGGCCCCCCCATTCTGCACTGGACTGTTGCCGTGGCCTCTCCCTGGTCACTGGTCACCTGGCCTCCCCACTTCCTTCCACCCATTCTCCTAAGTCAGACCAGGCCTTCTCTTGCTCTCAAGCCCCCCGTGGATCTCCGTGGCTCTCTGTGTCCGACAAAGCCCTATAAGGCCCTGTCCATGTCCACCTCTGATGCACGGCCACACGGACCTTCCTTCAGTTCTTCGAGAAGGACAAGCCCGACCTGACCTCAGGGTCTTCACCCCGCCCTGAGGCAGCTCCTCGCCCACCGGTTCTCTCTGCAGGCCTCTGCTCTGCTGTCAGCTCCCCGGGCAGTGGCGGGGGGCGGGGGTTGCCCTGCCTGACCACAGTGTGAAGGGCATCACTCCGCACCACGCTTACCGGGCTTCTTCCTAACCTGCCGGCTCCATTCAGCACACAGATCCCCACGGCTTCTTGTTTATTTTGGGTCTCCCCACCTAGACAGAGGCACCCCGGGACAGGGACTTTGATGTTGGTCTCCCCCTGCCCCCGGGAAGTAAGACAGCATCTGAACCAAAGCTGTGATTCAGTCATTCCATTTCTGCATGAAGCCAGGAGTGAGGGTGGCCCGGGCATGCTCGGGGGAGCCGAGCAGCCCCCGAAGCTGTGGGGGGGGGAGCAGCCAGGTCTGCGGGGGATGCTGCTGCTGTGGGGGCGGGGCCTCAGGGGGGTTTGCTGCGGACACCGGGCTTTCAGGTTTCTGTCTTCCAAAGCCATTACTTTACATTTCTGCACTGTACTTTGCATTTCTCTCACTATCAGGAGGCCAGCCCTCTCCCTGCCCCAGCTCCGGGTCTACCTGTGTGCCAGGTTCCAGAGAAAAAGGAGTGAGAGGACCTGCCACTTCTCAGTGGGAGGGTGGGTTTCCTGGAAGAAGGCTTCTCCACGCTGATACGCGGCCCCGAACCACCCCTCAATCCCTCAGTGTCTCACCTCCTCCCAGAAGATGGGGTTGGTCTCATAGCCGCCCACAGACAGGGCGTCCCCTTGGAGGCGGAGGTAGACCGAGGCGTCATGGTCGCGGACATTGGGCATGTTCTGGAAGGCAGAGCAGAGAGGCCTCGGGGTCAGCCAGGGCTGGGCGGTCCCAGGCCCACCGTGGCCCATGGCATCTCCTCCTTATTGTAGGCCTCAGGTTACACTGTGGACAAACCACTCCCCCCACTCAAATCTCTCCTTCCCTAGACCCCATAAAACAGCAGCAAAGAAGTAAGAAGGAAGGAGGGAAGGACAAGGTCTAAGCCACAAATCCAGGGGAACCGTGGAGGGACAAGAGCACACAGAGCTCTCCAGCAACACCGCACATGCCAAGCCAAGTAGGCACCGCTGCGCAGGCCTGGGCAGGGGAAAATGCCAAGTTGGGCCGGTGCGCACCCTCCAGTCCCCTCCTATCTGCAGAGTCCTGGCTTGTGGCAACCCAGCTCCCTCTGCAGGGCCCGATGGGCAGAGTGCACGGTGTGTGTGTGTGTGCATGGATATGTGTGTAAGTGTGCACGTGTGTGAGTGAGAAAGAGTACGTGTGTGCACGGAAAGGCCAGGGTCTCTTCAAAGCAGTGAACCCAGGTCCCCTCCATCCTCACCCAGCATGGCCTGGAGCCTGGCCTGGGGACAGCCCTGAGGTCTGGAGAATGGGGTCCCCACAGGCTCTGGTCTCAGAGGTGTGAGGGGTGGGTTTCCGTTTCCCTCTATAGCAGCCCGGGGACTCTATCGTGGAAACAGAAAGTGGCCTGTGGAAGGTTCCAAGTGCTAATGAAGTGGCCTGTGGAGGATTCCAGATGCTGACATAGGGGCCCTCACCAAAGAGGACAGCTCACCCTCATCCCTTACAAGATGCCCTCCGGTCCTCTGTCTCCAGGCTTCCAGTTGGCCTGCAGAAACTCCCCCTTAAAACCCACACCAGGAACTTCCCAGCTATGACAAGGTTGGGTCCATCAAACAAGGGGCCATGTAAAAGGAACAATCCCAGATGAAGAAAGAGGTCTCAAAGTGAGCGATGACTATCTAAATGAAAAATGCAACGGAAGGGTCGGATAAGACCATCTTCTAAATATGAGGCCAAAAAAAGATGAAGAAATTGCAATCAGGAAAGGAAATCACAAGGTCAGCCCTAAAGGTCCAACATCTACCTCATAGGGGTTCCAGAAAGACAAACAGAGGAAATGGATTAGAGGAACATCAGAGAAGCAATCCAGGACAACTTCTCAGATTAAACATCACAGATCTCCATATTAAAGGGCCCACCAAGCCCTGTGCATGGGCAGACAGCACAGAGGCCATGCTGGGGAAGAAACATCAGAACACCAGAGGAACAGATGCATCCTGGAGAATGGCACAGCATTCCTGGAGGCCAGAGGACCTGGAGCCAAGTCTTCAAAATTCTGACAGACAGTTTTAGATGGAGAATTCTAGGCCCAATCAATCCATCAATCCAGTGTAAGGAAAGAATAAAGATTATTTCAGACATCGATGAACGCGAAAGTGTTTACCTGCCATCCGCCCCTTCTCAGTAAGCAACCAGAGCACAAGCCACGGATCCAAACAGAAGAGGAGAGAAGAAGGCGCCAGGGTCACAGCTGAGCAGAGGCCACAAGGCAGTCCTTCTAGAATGGAGATCAGAACAGCCAGAGGGTTCCTCTAGGGGAGGGGAACGGGACTTACAGACTGCATGTGATTTCCCTGATGTGCGGAGTGGTGCCGAACATATTCTTGAGAAGTAGTTGACAGTTGAAATGTTTGCGAGGACAATGGGACAGTTAGAATATAAATGCACATATCCTCAACAAAATACCAGCAAACTGAATCTAGCAGCAGAAAAAAAGGATTCTATCCCATGGCCTAATGAGATTCACCAGGAATGTAAGGTTGGCTTGACATCTGAAAACAAGTCTTTGTAATACACTGTATCAACTGCGTAGGATGAAAACCCATCACTTCAATAGATGGTGGAGAAAGCATTTCCAGCACATTTCATCACAAAAACACTCAACAATCTAGAAATAGAAGGGAACTTCCTGACAAAGGGTATCTAAGAAACACCCACAGCTAAAACATACTTATTTTCAGCTTTTCCTCTAAGATTAGGCCAACAGAAGGATGTCTACTCTCAGCACTTTTACTCAGCCTCGTACTGGAATTTCTAGCCAATACAGCAATGAGGCAAGAAAAAGTATTAAAAGGCATCAAGCTTGGGAAAGAAGGAGCAAGACGATCTCTATTTGCAGGTGACATGATCGTGCATATAGAAAATCCTAGGAACCCACCAAACAACTATTAAAACTAACAAAACAGTTCACCAAAGTGGCAGGACACAAGGTCAATGTACGACAGACAAATAAAAACTATTGTTTTGTTTTTCATCATCACTGGACAATCAAAAAATGAAATTAATAACTCCACTCACATCATCGAAAGGAATTTTTTTGAAGATTTTATTCATTTATTTGAGAGAGAGCGTGCATGCACATGAGCACAAGCAGGGGAAAAGGGAGAAATAGATTCCCTGTCGAGCAGAGAGCCCAATGTGGGGCCCAATCCCTGGACCCTGAAATAATGACCTGAGCTGAAGGCAGAGGCTTAATGGACTGAGCCACCCAGGAGCCCCCATCAAAAAGATTTTTCAAATGCTTATAAATAAATTTAACAAAACAAGTGCAAAACTTACACTCTAAAAACGTG